ATCGCGCGACTGGTCGCGCGACCGGTCGTGGACTATGAAAGATGCCATTCCCTTGGCCTGCGGACTATGAAAGCAGCCCATCGTGTCTTTGGTTAAAGGATTGGTGGGTGAATGCTGGCGATATATCATCACGGATGTTACATGGTACGATTCAGCGAGTTGCGACCCTTCAGCAGTGACTAATAAAAGAATGCCATTTAGGCTGAGATCGTCCGCATAGTTAGCATTTTGATGTAGGTTAACACAGAGAAATCACAAATAGTTCCGAAAGTTGGTGATTATACGCTCGGTCGGTACACAGAGGGAAACACAGGAAGTCTGAGCATAATTCAGATTTCTTCAGCGAAAAGTGATCGAAATGGTGAGCCAACTTGGAAAGTACCTACCGGTATCATGATAATATCAGTCGGGTCACCCGGCTTATGCTGGGCCTCATTCCTTACTTTTACAAAGTAGTTAGAAATGTAATTATAAGGGAGGCATCTCTTCAAACCAACACTGGTGCAGAGGGATGGGCCTTATCTGTGCTTCGAGTCACTTCTAGACGGAAAAATATTTTTTTACCCAAGCTTCAGGAAGGGAGTAACGGTGGGTTTGGGATGAGATGATTACCTCGTGCAAAATCTAGGATGGGGTATGATTTGAACATTCTACTGACTCACACACCCGGTGTTCTTTTCTTCCGGAAGCTCAGGTCAAAAAATGTAAATTCCCGGCTAAGAAACGTTCCTGTGCACGATTATGGGCTAACCTCCTTATTTGAGCTCTAGCGCTGAATGTTGAAAAAAAGCGGAAGACTCTCAAATTCATTATCATCTCCGATTTTTGCATAGAAATACATAGCACGATGCCAGTTCAGGTCGAAAACACAGTCTCGAAGTACCCACTTCACTACACATTACTCACTTGTCTCCGCAATACTTATTGATTTATTAACCCACCCGCCATGTTACTGCTTTATATATAAGAACGAAATGTAGAATAGAGCTGGCTCGTCCATATCACTGCCATTATCGTAATCAAAGTTTTGCGTACGGACAGACAGACACAACGACAAGCCTACGAACCGACGCACCATGTTTCCGCTTTATAACAAGAGAAATTACAGATTTCAAAGTATTCTCGTAGCCCTTCCAGTTCCGCAATAATCGTAAGCTGAGTCTTATAGTTAATGACTCGATTTTGTGAAGGAATTCAACTATCAGTAATAACGAGTCCTCAACAACTGTTCTCAATAGCATTCGTAAATTTTGATAATCCCCTCTAGATCTCATCAAGCGCGCTCATGGATCGCGCACTTCCACCCCTCTCCGATACAGCGCTAATACATGAAGGATTGACACGTAGAGTTCATAGTGATCGCTGTTCATAGTCGTAGTGATCACTAAGTTCATTTCTTGAAATACTGACATTGTGATGAGTTTGATGGTCCGAATTTGCTTATTTGCTCCTGCTATTTATTGACTTCCAGTAATTCGCCTGAACGCTTCGTTCAAGAGAGTCTCCAGTCAAAGCAATTGCTTCAGAAAGATCTATACTCAATCAACCCTGCAGAAATAAGAGCCTATTCTCTTAAAATTTTCTATGATGGTTCTTTTGTCCAGATCGAATGGCTAGAAATTTTACCACTCAAGTACCGGCAGGCAGGTTCATGAGCTGTCGATTGTTGGAGTTTAGTGGTCGGCTGACACAGTGATGAGTGATATGTGGCGCACCATGGCGTGAGGGCGAGGAATTTGGGGAGCGAACAACGGATCTGGAACCTTATCTATAGAGAGACGCAGGCAGATTGATCAGGTTAGGCGGTGTGTAACCACGAGTGTTACAGCTGAGCTTGGAGCGAACTACTTGGGCTGTCTATGCTTTAACCTATGTCTTCATTGTGTTGGTCGATTTCGCAATTTTGACCATTATCAAGTGTAAATACTCCTTTTTACGTTAACATTGTGCATTGATTTTTTGGGTCAAGATTGCTTCTGGAAGTTATTCATTTTCACTCCCTCAGTATCTTTGATCACCAAACTCCAATTGTCTTCAGCTGGCATGGGCTTTGTTGCAAGTTTGTGTGACTTCAAATACAATGTAGTGCATAGACATTGGAACTTACATTTCAGAACTTTGCTCTCGTAATAGGATGGAGTCATTCGATCAAGTTTTTCACTATGACTTCAAGTTGCGTAGAACATCTAAAAAATCGTTCTGCCTACTAGAAGGTTTCCGAACAAACTCGTTATCAACAGAATAGGAAATTGCTCGTGTTGAGCTACTGGATGGATGTAATTCGCCGCTGCGCATTTAGTGGAAATTGTTCCACTTTTTGTGCCAGTCGCATATTACGCCCATTAAGTGTGCGGAGTGTGTTCAGATTTCTTTGTTTATTTTTTACATTTGGGCCTGTGACGAAGAGGTACTCCATAAGTATTAGTCACTTGGAATTCACTGAACTACACCCCATATCATTGGTTTTCAGGCTCTAGCTTTATGCCGCCTTGGGTGAGAGTCATTATCGGTCAGCGTCCGACAACCCTGTAGTTCTCCTGGAATAAGTTCAAAATCCAAGACCAAAGGTGTTTGAAGGCAGTACGATTACAGCAAAGAAATTACCTGCAAACAGTATGTAGAACGAAAAGGTTTGAGTGACTGAAAAGAACGGAATGTTTGGATCTGGGAGCGAAATATTGCTGGTGATTGTTGTGTTCTTATATACATAACAACCGGGTCACTCGGCTGACGTGGGGCTTCCTTCCCTCTTACGGCAGAGTTGTAACACTTTTCGGTGCGCGAAATTTGACAGAGTTCTAGCAGGGCATGCGAATGGTATTCAAAATGTGCCGATGCTTATGCCTATGATTAGAAGAATCGATCTGTGGCTGTTTATTTTTAAAATAATGACCCATTGAAGGTTCAGCTGGTGGGCAACCAAAGCCTCGAATGGTACTCACAAACGTTGTCGAGTCTTGATAACACCACAATCTGGGAGATTTGTAGGCTATATGGGAGCAGTGATAAAATTGGGAACATTTTCTAAGTATCATTCTTGAGCCTAGAAGACAGAAAGAGCAGTACATACATAGGGTTTCGGCACCTATTGTTGCTTTCGTTGTTAAAATCCTACTGCTGTTCGTCAAAGTATACATCTTTTATTGCTGCTATAGCAGTCTGTTGACGGTACGCAGCTTTGTAGCGGTTCCTTCAGGTGTTGAGCTGAGCTATATCTCGCAGGAATGGAATATTATCCAGGTTATTGTCCTGCCACACTCTTTGTATTATATTTCGAGGAAAGTGCTTTTTACCGTTTGTGCTGCCTCGGTCCCCTTGATGAATTTGTCTAGTTGTTCTCGGTCACATTGGTAGGGACATTCCGATTGCCAAGTGTTTTGAAGTGGCGGCCAAATTTTATTTCTACAGTTGCACCAAAGCCGTTTAGTGAACTTTTCTATTGAGTTATATCAATAGAATCAATGATCTTTGAATCTATAGACCTCTCAGAAATGCTTCTTAAAAAGGATAATGATCACACCTCAGAGGCTGTATTTGCTGAATTTAATTACCGTTACCGAACGTTGGTCCGTTTCAAAGTATTCCGCTTGAGCTATCATTTTATCCTACATGGATAGCCGTTGAGCCTCTCAACGTTCGCAATCAGTTTTACCCGTTTTTTTCTTTGCAGAATCAACCTAAACTCCAACTAAAGTTCATAATTGATTTTACTTCGAAAGAACTCTAGTTCTTTTGGAAGAGCCTCTTCGAATGACTATACAGCGATCGGATGGAGATGGCGCGAAGGTCGCGCTGGTGATTTTTACATTATTGTTCTGGGTAAGATTTGCTGCTTTGGTGATCTGCAAACAAATATGACTTTATTTTAAAAAAGCAAAAGCTGCTCTGTTTGCGCAGAGCAGCTTTTGCTTCATAGCCTACCAAACAAGGATGGAAAAGATGCTAGCGTTTAAAATGAGAAAAATTCTCCAGCGAGCAGTTCCGAACTGCATTCTTTGGAAAAACAGATCATCTGAAGTTCAATGCATGCAAACGAAAAAACCAGGAAGAGGAAGAAGTGAAGCACTTCAGTTACCACTCCGCCACATTTCGTAACCTTAGATAAACTCACGAACGGCAGAAAGTTGCTAAAGACGATTTCAAACTTATCTGCTCAAAGAAACTACTATACCGAAGGCAGTCCGTGATATACGGGAAATCATGTTTGTCTTCAGGTGTCTGGACTAGCGTTACTATTCATTGGATTATGGATATTATTAGATCCAAAGCAGAATTACATTCTGTATTTATTGAATTCTGTTGACGAGCATCCATTGTTGGTGAGTTTTTATACAAGTTTCCTGTCCAAAGCAACCAAACTCAACAATGCACCCCAATCCCCTCAATACATACCTCACCGCTCGTCAGCTGTCCAAAGCGAGAGCGTGCAGTCGCGGCAGTGTGATAAGTTGTTTGTGTGAGCCAAAAAAAACTATGTTTTTATAATGTGCGCTCCTCTGATCCCTAGCGTTGTCCCACCCACACAGCTTCATCTCTATTAGCAAAGCTAGCCATCGTTGCAAGATGCTCGTTTCATGAAACTGTAAGAATCGCCGTTGGTGTCGTGTTCTTACTTTCATTTTCTGCAATTTTTGATTGTAATTTGATTTTGTTAGACTTGATACTCGCTTGAAAACATGTCATATGAATAAGGTATCAAAAAAAAAGCACGGTCGAAATAAAGAACAGATATCAACTTAAAAAGCATACTTTTTGTTTGCTGCTCTCTCCGATAGTTGTTTATCGCCAGAGACGATTACGCTCTCACATTCAGCTCTCTGAAGTGACCCTTTTTGGCTTTCCCAGCTGTTATCATTTCACCTACATTCGTCCTTTTTGAAGTCAGAAAAGTTAAAGACATATGTGAAAGAATCAACCGAGTCAGAAGAAGATGACATTCAAAGCCGAAAACTATCACCGACTTTTTGCCGACTTTCTACTTCAGTATCTTCCTAAGAAGGAGAGGCAGATGCGGACCTTTCACCTCAATCCTTACATAGTTTACATCCCATGGATGGCTTTGATGAACCTCTAAGTAAGTTGAATTCCAAAGTAAGGAATATAGCTATATTTTCGAACAGACCTTGTGAACCTTCTTGCAGTAGCCATAACACGATATGTCCTGATCTGCCGAAAATTTCATAGTGTCCACATTTCTTCTGAAATGTTCTGAAAGTTTTCACAAAAAAACTGTGAAGGGAAACCCATAACTTGTAAACTGCAACCCATAACTGCGCACTGCCTTCGCTGAGATTTCTGAGATCGCACTCGGTGTACTGGGTCGATGTTCATTTTCGACCTTCGTATTTCTCGATTCAGAGCGTTGGAATGACTCCTGCACGAAGTCGCTTAGCAGGGCGTGTACTAACTCTCAAAGATGTAGTTTGAATACAGGGAAATAATTCAGCCATTATAGGGTTGAACAGAAAAGGAAGAGAAGACAAGATATGTTACACGATATAACTGGGTGTTATCCTTGTATAGCAACTCCACAGAAACTTTCAGAACATTCCAGAAAAAGCATGGGCTACTGCGCCTTTGTCGGCAGATACATTGCCACCGACCTAGTAGCAAGTTTAGATTCCATCATTACAACGGATGAAAGCGATGCTCGCAAAGCATAAGGACGAGTTCGAGTCCCTCTTGATCCGAACAATTGTTCTTACCTTAGAAAAAATCTTATCCCTTCCACTGATTTCACATTAGGCTTATTTAGGTAAGCACTACCCTCGCCTCTAGGACCAAGGCATATGCTATTTATTCTTCAAGTGCAGTACATTTGCATGAGAGGGTATCATTTCCAGCTTTTTCATCTGGGTTATAATGAGGTCATCATTATGAGAAACCCAGTGAAAATCTTTACTGCAAAAATCTTGTATCTTACAATAGCAACAAATATGCTCGACTGCCTTTTTGCTTTTATTAGATGCCTAGTATGTTTTTTTGCAATCCCTGGACATCTTGTTCAACGACGGTCACAGAGCTTATATTGATGATCGAACCCTTCACATTCATAAAAACGATTGATCCCTCATATGAATCGAAGATTTTACCGACAGGGCTAGATTCAATATCACACGCCCTCAGGAACGTTTTAGCGCCAGCCGTTGTATTAGGTTGAGTCATAAGTCCTCGGACAATGTGATAGTGATGACTTCTAGAGATCATAACTCGGGGAAGAGGTGACGAAAATGGACGCGCTAGGCATCGTTAGATAGAGTATAAAAGCTCTTCCACATTTATTTCAACGAGTACACCTGACCGTCTACTGCGCTTGAACGTGAGGAGAGAATGTGCCTCTCCGGCGCGGCACTCCACGTCATACTGCATCAAAGTAAGATTCACCCATCGACCGAGCTTTCGCACCTTGCCACTTGACTTCAATCTACAAATAACTGTGGACTGACTCCCCAAGAGTGACTGCCAGTTCATGAGTAGTTTGATGCGGGTTGGCTTCCACCTGGCTCCGCAGCACGTCCAAATACAACTCCTTCGGGCGTCTCGGACGGTCTTCATTTTCGATGGAATAGTCGTCCGACGTGAACTTCTAGTGCCACTTGTAATTGTGCATCTAGCAGTAGCACCATTCTTGTAAACTTCCTTAATACGTCTATCGATTTCCGCGGGTTGTTGGCCAGATAAAAAAAGAAATAGGATGGTGTTGCGGAGATGAAGTTGCGACGGCTTGAAATCATGGGGCATGGTTGCAGGAATGGAAACAGGTGTGTTCATTGGTATGTATTTGCAAGAGCTTTTTTTACTCTATCTAACAATGCCACGCGCATCCATTTTCGTCACCTCTTTCCCGAGTTATGATCACTAGAAGACATCACTATCACTTTGCCCGATTACTTATGACTCAACCTAATATATCCACATAGTACCCTAACTGTAATTCCAGACATTGTCAGCACACATTGCAATTGTCGCTGGCGCATTGTCGCTTTTCGTTGGTTTTATTGGATGTTGCGGTGCTTTGAAACGAATGCGATGTCTACTAGTGAGCGTGAGTTGTTGTTGTTCACCGAACTTTTTCACAAACAGTGGTTTTCGTAGTCATCTTTCTGAAACTTCTGCACCCCGCTCTTGTTTGCTTCACGGTGCTGCTATCGTGTACGAGTCTATTACGGATTACTATAGGTTCCATCAGGTTGGACACAGTTCTGACGTCCGTCCCAACAATTTGTCATAATTCTTTCATTTCGATATAATGCTGGGCTCCGCAATGTATTTCTCATTAATGACTGACATGTTAAGCATAGATTGGAGATCCTTGTAAATCACTCGAGACTGTTCTTTAGCTTAGTCCTAACTATGAATACCGATCGTGGCTTACGGACACCTTCGGTAAATTGCTCTCGGAGTGTGGAAATGTCTCGAACTACTTGTTTTGCGGGGGTTTAGAGAGATCTATACACTTTAGAGTTACGTTACAAAGAAACTGGCCTAGCAAGCCAAAATGAAAAAAATCGCCTTTCGTGGGCTTCAGTACTTTTTGTGCAGTCTAGTTTATTCTTCTGAAGGAACACAATAATTTCTTTTCATTTCAGTTTATGATATGCTTATTCTTCCTGTTTCTGGCTGATATCAGTGTAGGAATCCTTGCATTGGTGTACAGAAGTAAGGTGAGAGTTTCGAGGATTCCGTTTTTGTTAGGATAATTCAGCTCATGTGCCGACTTCTGGCACCTAACACAGCCGCGTGCTTTGATAGTAGCTAAGCTACTACCATTTGGCTCAATTGCAAGACCACTGGAAGTTATTATCGTCACCATTCCATCCAGCTATGATAGTCTTGAGTGAATGCACCCGTACAATACAAGCTCATAACTAGACCAGGTCAATGACGCAATCACATGCTAAACTACACAGTTGGGTGTGGCAACAGCGACTACTTCGGGTGCATTGGCGGAATGATTAAAAGTGCCACATTTTGTGAGTAGGTCCTTTATATAAATTTGGGAAAATTGGGAAAATTTGGGAGGTGATACATGTTGTGCTTATGAGAAATGCTCCTTGGCTGCTTTCATAGTCCAACTGTCTGCCTCCCTCCTCCCCCCTAGAACTACGTCGGCTGGCACGCCGGCGGACTATGAAAGCAGCCCTTTCCGCTCAGTAATAGAACTCCACTGAACGGTCAATTTCGATTTATGTATGTTACATATTCATTTCTTTATGTCACTAACATAATTTGATATTTGTCCGTTAAGTAGTGTTAGTGTCTGGTGTATTCTTACAAGTGATCGTATTAATATAAGGAAATGATATAAACGAACTCAAACCGCTCCAATTATCAGTTATATCGACTGTTGAGCAATTCTGTCTAACGATTGTGTGGAACTCTCTAATTTATCTGTAGCTTACGAAAAACCCAATGTCGTCTACATCAAGATTTTGTAGCTTAATCAACCTGTGATGCATGACTGAAGCTGTTACTCGACAATGTCCAGTTTTATGTGAGTGGCCTTACATATATGGCCTTACAAGTTGTACGTCTAATTCATGTCAGAAATAACGGTCTGGTGAATGTTGACTGGCAAAGATATTTTAGAAGGTACGTCAAACGCCTGTAACTGTCCATTGTTATATGTGGTAAGTGTGAAGTGTCTTTTCAGTTGTTGTTGTGAACAATACGCTAATGTAAATGAATAAGCTTACAATTAGTGAACAAGTTCTATCTCCCCTGTAGATCTTATAGCGCCTCACCAATCCTTTGCGCCGATCCTATATGACCAAAATATGGATTCCTGAAAAGAGTATAAGTGCAACCGAAGATCCTGAGGGGTAAAAAAAGCGAAAACTACCCGTCATTTTGTAGTCACCTTCGTGTTAAAACAGAAGGAAGTGAGAGAATAAGCGTGTTTCGTGGAAAATAAGGTTTTCCATAAGTAGGGGAAATAGAGGTTGCACGAGATTAACGTGGCGAAAATGATGGCATGGAAAGAGTATTCTTCGGACGAAATTTCACTTGCCACAATTGTGCAACAACTGCGTGCATCAATCCAACATAATGAAAACTTGTTTTACTCTCAGTATGGGAGTCCTATGAGATAGTTAGCCTTTTCAACGTCGTTGAAACTCGTACGCTGTGGGTGTGGCATCCAGACGATACAATGTCTAGCCCCTTATTGTACCACATCCAGGATGATTCTCTAACTGACATAGGCACATATGGTATCAGGAGGGGCCTCGAACTCGTTCTACAGGGGAATTTCTGAACTGTGCCTTTGGTTCTTGAGAGTGTCCTGGGTTCACCAATAATCGAAGCATTTGTGCACAGCTCTCATTTACCTTCCCACTTCTTCGAGGTTCGAAATTCTCACCATAAATTGGATACTGTAGGGGTTCGATGAACTCCTTTACTTATCCCACGGCTAGTGTATTCCAATTGACGGTACGGAAACCCATTGATCTTTGAGCAAGGTCTCGATTCAGAAGGAAGTTTGAAATGGAGTTTGAAGATAATTGGGCATGAACATTGAAGAACAGCTTGTTTTTAAGACTGTTCTGAGTGGTCTAAGCGCAATGAATGAGATCCGGAAATGTCGCGAATATGAGGTGCTCTTTCTATCCCAAATCGGAGGTTTTCCGGGAAGTAGTCGGATTTCCCAGAATTGTTCAAACTGAATGGATTAGGCGCCGCTCTTCTTTTTTATGACCTCATTGCTTTGCTTTTCCTGTTGACTTCCTATGGAATCCTGCTTATGTTTCACCTCCTCAAGTTTACGTAGGATTGTTTTCATGCCATTGAGACCGTTGCAGAGCTCTGTTTCATTCTGAGCCGTGCTTGGATTCAGATGTATTCGTGGGATACAAACGCCAAGCCATGGGAGTGTGTAGGGTTAGGTCACATGTTTGTATCCACAGTGACGATTAAGAATGAAGATAATCTGTAACTGGAAAAGGGGCCGGTAATGGTTGTTGCACAATGTTGAGGTAACTTCATGATCATCGTTGCGTCTTCGTCCTCCTATCCCTTGCTGAGCACTTGCGCTCGTCCAACTTTTGGCGACTGTTCTTGATTCATCTCTATTTCTATGAGCATATAAGACCATGCCCGTCACCCCAAATGACGCCTACAGCGGTCCTTATGTTCACTGTATCTTTTTCTAAATAACAGATTACGAGTCTCTAGCGAATTTGTTGCAGCTTTCTTCTGTCGATTCGAATTTCGGCGAGAATTTGAAAAGTCTCCTTTCATTCTCTTATGGGGTCTCAATGGAAATCGACAGCAATCGCCAGGTCACCGCAATGATCGATAAGCTTCAATTTTATGTGAGTTTGTCATTTACCATTGCTGTTTTGTTATGTAATAAAAACCAGTGGTTTTCCACCGATCAAACATTATAGTAAATTGAATCTGCTCAGCTAATCCGCCTTTCTTATAAATTCACCACTCTTCTGGTTCGCTCCATTTCCCGTGTTTATTTTTGACTCTCATCTGAGGTATAGTCCGGTTCGAAAACGCTTGAACTTCCGAATAATGCCGCTTTGCGAATTGCTAAAGGGCTGTTTTGGATTTCTCGAATTTCACTTGAAAGGTCATTCATTGAACATCCTTCTATTGCACTTTCAGGAAGAATGCTGCGGTGTAGTATCCGGCGATGACTATCTGGCCAGTAGGTGGATGGCTTCGGTGGCGTCTGATCCCGCCTACGAGCATGATGATCCTCCTCTCGTGCCCACGTCCTGCTGTCGTCAAATAAATGGGGCATCTGCTTTAAATCCAGTGGCCAGGAGCATGGCTCGATGTCAACAACCCACTCCAAACAAGATGTGGAGACATATGAGTGTGAGGGTTTCATCAAGAATGATTACGACAGCTTTGTAGAGAGACGGCTACCCTGACAGTAGTAGAGAAATGTGAAATATTTTCTCAGGAACAAGAAGCAAAGAGCGAAAGTTTATATTAACTATGGAAAAAAGTGCTTCGATCGGGGAGAATCAGCTGGGATTTACGCTTCCACTATTTAGCGTTGCTCCTACTATAATTGTGGAGCGTACTTGCAAGTAAAGTAGTTTCGTCCGTGCTAAACTTTAGGGGCACTTAAAGTCTCCTTGTTCTGAAAAAAGCGTTCCATTTTCTATTTTTTCACTTTTCGTCTATATCAAAAGACCTTGCCCTCTTGAGGATTTCCTATAATACTCTGTGTAGGTGAATCTAGAAGTCGAGGGGCGAGCTGGCAAAAGAGCATCNTTTTTTGTGGCAAATTAGTGTTACATCAAAATTTCTTCAAAAACTGACTCACTTGCCGGAATCCACTTCTCGAAACTGTATTACTTTCAGGGATGTCATGAGAAGCTCCTTGGATGGTTGGACGAACAGACTCGCGTATTTGCCATTGTTGGCTTCAGTTTTGCTGCTCTCATGGTAGAGTTTGATCAGTTATTGGCTAACCTTTCGGGTCGTTCATCTTACTCTTAGCTTCACTCCTTCTTGTGATGACATTGTAGTGCTCTTTTGGGAATTGCGGTATAAGAGGAGCGATGGAACTGGTGTTCAGTACATGATAACGCTTACTCTGTGATTACTTGATTGGCCTTATTCCTCTTGAGCATAACAATGATAATCCATTTGAGATTTAATTATTTCCCTGTATTTCTTTTAGAAGCGTAGCAACTTGACTACAACTGAGCAACCTGATTAGCCTAAGGAAGCCTTGAGAGGGCACTTACTAACACTGTTGACTGGTGATAGTATTAAATAGTAGCAGAAGTGAACATTTATAGCTCATCTTATTTCCATGAATACAAACCTTTGGTCAAAATAACCAGATTACTGGTGCTAGTGTAACTTTGGCCGCAACTTATGAAGAAATAAAGAGAAAACGTGGTCCCTTACTCCGTGATTGCAAACTTCTAGCTCTTTCTGAATTCTGGGAGGAAACTCTCAATGAAATTCCCACCTTGTCAGTTGAGTGTTCTTTTAGGCGTATAAGGGCAGTTCGTGCTTCATAATTCAGACCCCTTTGTGAAACATGAGGAATGGTCTGAATGATAAACCAAAGAACGTTCAGTGACCATCAATGAAGAGCGGTTTTAATAGTAAACAGTTACATTGCTTCTGTTAAGGTTGTCTAATACCACAGATGAGCGCAAATCCGAGTGAAAACAAGCAAATTGAACCATTTTTTCCCATTTTGCAGACACTTCAACCAGAAGTGTAATAAATTTACTCATTATGCACGGTAATGAAACTTTTAATACCAGTGGCGTTGGAATTTCCCCTAAGGAAAAACCTTATTTTCTATTAAAGCTCCACACTTTTTTTATTTTCATTATTCTCATTGAATTCTGACTGTGCTGATAGTCGATAAGTTTTAACTCGGTTAGTAACCATTGAAGGAAGCGTAATTATCAGGCCCTAATTACGAGGTCTTCGCACCTAAGTTGGGTCATTTTGTGCTTAGGTGCGAGAGAGCCTAATTAGGTGCTACCGTACAATTTTTCGCATACCCCCACATGAAACATACTCAAGTACTAAGGTTGTGGCTTCATTACGATAGAAAGAAAGAAAATACAACTGTTAATGCATAGCATTCCCAGTCAACGCTCATTATAAGTTCTTGTGAAGTTTCTCTGTGATCTCGACAACTAGTCAGTGCTCGTTATCACTTTTAATAATTGCGAACGATGCAGACTTACTCTTCAACTTTCAGGTAATCGGAATGACAATCTCACTGGTGCGGTGCAGAAGCGTTAAATACTATAAATTCGTTCGAGACGAGGACTGACCCACGTGTCCGATCGATGTCAAACTTGTTTGGCTCTCATTCGTCAATCTTAAGCTGCGATCTCATCATCCCTGTTTCCTGGGAATTATTTTTGTGAAACATATGTGCTTTCAACTCTTCAACTAGGAGAATCGTGTAGGCGTGGAATTTAAAATTTCGCCATGAGTTTCAGATATAAATAAATCCAGTAACACGATTTCGCTATACTTCAAATATAAACAATACTTTTGAAACAGGTTAACCAGTAGGCATACATTCATACGAAATGGTGATGTAATGAATGAAAAGAGTATAATGAGCCGATTGAATGTCATTCCACTTCTACTTCGGTGCATGTTTTGTTTATTGGGCCTTCAACATCGAAAGTATTTTATAATGGTGGTTTATAACTTTGTATTTACTCTTTTTGGAGATTTGCTAACTTTTATTTTTGCATATGATTAAGATGAACTGTTCAGAAGGCCAGTGATATCCAAAGATCGATATATGTATGTCTTTGTTATATACCAATGTTTACTTGGCTATTCTGAATAGGCAAAGTCGGCACGAAATTTTGTAAATTTTGTACATCACAACACTTTCTTTAAACTCCCCTCTTCGCTTTAGACGGTCGAACTGAGAGGAACGAGAGAGCAAGTGAGAAGCAGTGCTTGTAATGAGCAGCAAACGATGAATAGCTCATTACTAGGGTGATCTTAAGAATCAACACTATTTTGGCGACAGAGTGGTATTTGTAATTGATTCACATTTCTAACTCTTCGTGCCTCACCTTTGAGGTGTTCCCTGAATTTGATGAATGTAGGCACGTAAGGGAATGTCGAAGGGAAAAGCCTTGTGACTTTCCTTTCTTCATCATAAAGAAAGAGGATAGCAATTGCATGAGGCGTCTTTGTAACCCAAACGGTGTGTGAAGGCGAGTTCATCGGAACCAAACGGGCAATCCATCACTGTGCAAATTAGCCTAAGAGCTCACGTTCAGTTGCAAGGCGGCCATAAGTGACTACGAAATTCTAGTTGTCCTTACGCTGTTCACGTATTGCCACTGAGCGAGTGAAAGGTGAAGCAAAGAAGGGAATAGCAACAGTGAACAAGTGAAGCCTCCAGGAAAAATATAAGTTTTGACTAAATCAATTTTGGATTTACTGCTCGCAGATTTCATTTTCGTAGAACGGTTATATGTGAAATCTGTAATAAGCGCACTTAAAAGTGCATAAATAAATAAATAAAATATGAAGGAAAGGACACTATTTGGTCGTCTGTTCTCGAACACGGTCGTCCGTTTTCTTTTGGAAGCCAAGTGCATGGATACTTACTTTGATACTTTGATGGTCCATCGGCAAGAGACTCTTCTCAGCGGGGACCACAGCTCCTCCATACCGCCCGATCTTTCGCGACTTGCATCCAATGTAGGCCGTTGTCCCTGAAATATTTGGAAAACGAGTCGGCCCACCGAGTCGGC